GTTTGCGCCGTTTGTCGCTTTTGCCTCCTTCAGCTACCACAGACTTGCCGTAATTAAGGCACGAGACGGCAGTTTCGAAGCTGGAGGTGCAAAGGTCAGCGGGGCTGTCTGGTGACTCTGACCCTACCACTGTTAGGCCTCAGTATGGCAAGTTTAAATTAGCTAAGCCTGAGCCCTCGAGTCACCAGTCAGTCAGCAGCGGCCGGGAGGGTTCAGGATTGGCTTAATTAAGATTGGTCACGATGCCCTTTGGGTTTAGGGTTTTGGGCCTCAGAACGGGCGCTTCTGCGGCTGCTGGCTGATGCCTGAGCACTTGCCGCGGCCTCGACCTCGGCATCGGCCTTGGCCCTTGGCATCACATATTCGCAGGTATTTTTTAAACCTCTTCACTTGGAAGATCGGACGTTTTTTTGTCATCCCAGAGAGAGAGAGAGAGATAGAGAGAGAGAGAGAGACTTGCCCGTTCGTGTCTGAGTGTCTGATTTCAGAAGAAGGCTATCTATAGAGCATGCTCAAGATTTTCCCCGGATTCCACGCGAAATTCAGAAGGCCTGCGGCAATCAAAGCAGCGACACCTTGCACACTCGCCTCCTTGCGGCGCTGCTTGTGGATTTTCTTCGATCGTTTTCCAGAGCGGTGCTTGCGCTTTCGGCCGCTGGCCTCACCGCAGCAACTATGACATCTTTCATCAAGCAGGATCCCCACGGCACACAATGGCACACAGACGCGGTCCGCGTCGGGCCTGCGAATTGTACTTGCTCTGACATGACTTAGTCTGAGCCGAACTTCGTTGAACTGCATGAAACCTTAACCGAACATTGCATTCAAACCCTGCCACCCCAGGCCCCAAGCTGTTTCGATGCATGGCACGGCAGGCGGCATAGCATCCGGTGTGACCGGTGCAGATTTCAGGACCTGGTTGGTGCCAGGAGTGAAACTCTGGCTGAAGTTGGGCTGCGCTTAGGACCTGAGCATGCGCAGCAAACGAGCACCTTCAAATTAAGGTTCTAGCTTGGCTCGGATCCTCATGACGATCTCAGCGAAGCCGTCCCGACGTTTCAGTAAGGCAAAGTCGCGAGATAGATCGTTTTCCACATCCTCAGAACATGAGAAGTCAAATCGTCACCCGCCTCATCAGGAGCGCTGCACAACGGGCCGAGCAAGGGATCGTCCTGACAGGTGACTGCTGAAAGAGGCGGCGAAGCGTGGAAACCCAATGGCAAGCCACGCCAAGACCCAGTCTCGCGTGTGTGTGTGTGTGTGTG